AGCAACTTTCTACCTCCATTTCCTTCAGTGATATTGTCTCAAACATTTGCTTTGGAGTTTGATTGTTTTGTCTTTTACATATAGTCATACAACATAGTCTTTTTAGACTGACATCTTTTACTTGAACAATATGCATTTAAAATTCATTCAACTCTCTTTGTATGTTTATACCATATTTTATCATTCATGTATGTCTGACAGACATTCTGTTCACCATTTTGGGAAATTAGAAATAAACCTGCTCTTAAGTATATACATGCGGTGTTTTATATGAATACCATTTTTTTTTTTTAAGATTTATTTATTTATTCATACAGAACTGGGGTACAGGCCAGAGGCTCAGGGGCGGTGAGAGGCTTCACCAGAGACAGAGTGGGGAGCAGAACAGGCAGATCGACGAAGTACACTGCTGAGGGGAGCAGCGGGCGGGCCAGGAGAGGTCTGGCTCACCATGTGGTCTCCTCCGGGGCAGGCGGCAGGCGGGAATCGAACTCATACGGAAGTGGCTTCAGATTCTCAGTGCTGTGCTTTAACCCGCTGCGCCACCAGGGAGGGCCCTGAATACCATTTTTAAGTCGTTTCAAACCCATACCTAAGAGGACATTACTACATAAAAATGTAAAATTGTATTTAGCTTTATATAGAACTACCAAACTGTGTTATAATAGATACCACTTTGTATTCCCATGAACACTGCACATTTTTCTTTTCTTTTTTTTTTTGCTTCACATCCTGGCCAGAAATTGATATTGTCAGGTTTTGGGATTTAAGTGATTATAATATAAATACAGCAGTAGCTCACTGTTTTCTTAATCTGCAATTCCTGAATGATAAATAGGAAGTAAGGACTTTTTATTATGATTTCTATAAACTGAACTTTTACATTGAAATTGCTGGTCAAAGTCCTGGCATCCTGATTAGATCATGACTAGTTTTCTATCCTTGCACTATTTGATATGGGTAGTTACAGTCTCATGTAGTTAACTGAGCACTTAAAAGATGGCTAGTTAAGGGGCCCTCCGTGGTGGCCCAGCGGGTTAAAGCACCACACTAAGAAGCTAAAAGCCACCTCTGCATGAGTTCGATTCCCGCCTGCCCCGGAGGTGACCACATGGCGTGGCAGACCTCTCCTGACACGCCTGCTGCTCCCCTCAGTAGTATACTTTGTAGATCTGCCTGTTCTGCTCCCCACTCTGTCCCTGGTGAATCCTCTCACCCTCCGCATCTCTGGGCTGTAACCCAGCTCTGTATGAATAAATAAATAAATCTTTTAAAAAAAAAAAAAAAGATGGCTAGTTAAAACTAAGATATGCAGCTAAGTATAAAACATCCTAAAGATTGTAAAGATTTAGTATGGAAAATTACATATAATATCAATAACTTTACATTGATTATGATAAAAATCATAATATTTTAGATGTGTTAATTAATTATCAAAATTAAGTTTGTCCATTTCTTTCAATTTCTTTGAAAATACTGAAATATGGATGTGGGTCTAGTCATATTTCGGTTGCCACTATTGTAATGCTATAATCACAGTAATACTTATAAAACAAACCTAATCTCATCTCTCTCTTGATAATTTAATCTCTTATTCTAGACACTGTAAATAAGGCTGTGCATTATTAATCTATTCAGTCATTTGCTATACCAGCTCCCACTTTACATTCCACAATCCTGCATACTAGGCAATTTAAAATTGCCTGAAAATATGATTATTTCATACATTCATCCTTTTTAGCTGGACTCTATATGCCAGCTCCTCCCAGTCGTTCTTGGATTTGGTGATGTAGACTGTGAGTTATCCTATATATAGCTTTTGGGCTAGCATAACTTTGATTAGTTAATTTTTCCAAGTAGCATGCTAATGTCTACTTAAAATAGTCTACCTGGATTTATTCATAAGGTATGAAAGTGAAATAGTCCCTACTATTTATAATGTACATAAACATACATGGGATAGTTTAAGGCAAAATCTTTACACACATATAATGAAAACCAGAAATACAAATGATGACAATATATAATGAATTATAGTGTGAAAAGTACTGTTCACAAAAACAAACAAAAAACGTACATTTCACAGAACTTTGGTTTAAATTGACAGAATGGTTGCAGTGAAGACCAAGATTATTTCCAGTGACTGGTAACTAGGGAAAGTTTCACAGAGAAGATGAGCTGCAAGTTGGGATTTAATGGACTTAGATGTCAGGGAAAAAATTTCAGAAAGTCATTAAAAGTTACCATTAATACAGAGTTCCAGAACTCCCTGTGGGAAAGCACAAATCACTTATGAAAGGACAAAAGGTGTATCTGACATAATGAAAGGTTATAAATAGGGAAGATACACAGAAAAAATATTTTGTTCCAAGATAGAATGGAAGAATATAACCCCAAGATGAAAGTGTAGCTCTTATTTTCTGAATACATTACTTGGCAGTATTTAAAATGATGATTGTAAATGGAAAAGACTTAAGGAAAGAAGATAGCAGTGCCGGTACCTACAAAGAAAAGCTTTATGAAAGGAACTTGGGACAAACATAGAGGATACTGTGAAACAAAAATTCATCTAATGTGGAAAATAGTAAAAAGACAATATTTGCATAATCTGAAAGGACATATTCTTTGTAGGATTCTTGGAACTCCTATATTGAAAATTATTTCAAAGTAAAAGGAAATTAAACAATGACAATAAAAAGTGCTGTTTTAACAGTGAGTAAATGAATACAATAAGAGATTCATGAAGTCACATCAAAATACATGAACAGCGTTACCACTGCTAAACAGAACGTTATCTATCAAACTTTGGAACTATCCAAAATGGAGCCAACTGACAGAAAATACACAAACAATCTTCAGAATAGGTACCTACATTATTACTCAAATCTGATCATACTGACAATTATACCTCTCAATATTAATTAGCAGCTTGAAAACTTTGCTATTCTTAAAAGAATAAGTTTTGGTACTAGGGTATGAATTCAAAGCTTAGTGTTGCCATTTGTATGTGATCTTAGACATAGTAACACTTTGTAATTTGGTTTTCTACTCTGTAAGGTAAATATAAAACCTACTTTTACAGTGTCAATGTGAGGATTAAATGACATAATGAGGATTAAATGACATAACAGTATGAACAACTCAGTAAAAAAAACTGGGGCATAAACTCAGGAGACTGGTGTTTCCAAGATGAAGAACTGGGCCTGATTGAGTAAAAGTGGAAATGTAAACAGTCATATGAATTAATGAGTGTGATAATATGGACTAGAACCTAAAATAAGTCTTTAGAATGGCAATAAATATTCCTGCTCACCATTTTTTTTTCAATTTAGTAAATATGTGGCAAATATGTACCACTTACATATTAGATTGTATAGCAGCAATGTTTCTAAAAATCAAGTAATATTTCCAACCACAAAACAGCTATGCTTTTGGAGTCAGACATCTTTTTAGGAATACAGGGAAGCAACTACAGACACATCCGAACTAGATATTCTAAAGAGTACTACAGTAGCCTTCAGAAGAGGGATAAATACTCACTAGTTAAAAAGAGTAAAGGCTTTAATGAAGGAGATAGCACTTAACCTAAATCTTATAAATGAAGAATTTTAATTGGAGGGAGGGGGGAGAGTGAGTAGAGACAAATTCAAGTAAGTAATCATGTAGACAGTTCATTCTCTACCTTCATATAAGATAATCTTATTTCCAATTTGCACCTATAATCCATAAATCCCAGAGAAAGCAATGTAACTTGTTTACAGTTTTAGAAAATCATATGGCAATAATAAGGGAGATAACAATAGGTGCTAACTTCTCAGTGTGAAACATGTTTTCTCCAACACATTTTCACTTTTAAATAAGGGAGCATAAAACAAGTGTAGAGAAAATGTTGGAAATCAGCCTCCTAAACTTTTGTTTTAAGATTGTCCAAAGTTAAGGATATTGATACTAACTAAAAAATGTGACAAATAGATAAATACAGAAGGAACATCAATCTAAAAAGTCTTTAAATTACTAGTTCGGACAGGTAGGGGTGTGTGTGTGTAATTTATTAAATAGCATAACCATAAATTCCAACAGGTAAATCTTATTTACATAAGGACTCAAAACAACAAAATACATTTAAAAAGTAACATAAAATGATTATAAACTTCAAATTGGTAATTTGTTGATATCAGTAAAATACCCAGTCACTGTGACTGGGTGCTACTTTAAAAAGACAAATTAAACCCTTATTGTTTAGAAATATATTCTAAAACATTTACAGATGTGTAGGATGACCTTCAATGTAACAATAGAAGGAAAGGAGTAGAGAAATAAAGTAATACTGCCCATGACTTTAGGTTATATGGGGAACTCTTTATACTGTTACACCTATTATATAAGGAAGTTGAACTTACCCACAGTAACATTCACAAAACAGAAAAAAATATGCTAACAGTAAATGATTTCATGAAAGCGAATGCAGAACAGTACAAGCCTCAGCCTTCCCTGATGCAATTATACTAATGTCATTGAGAGCTTAAACCACTTTAAATTAAATGATGACTAGTATGCTCAGAATACATATGGCAAACCTCATAGAAATGGGGCCCAGAGCTTTTCTAAACTTCTCAATCATGCATCATTGACAATATATTTACACTGATCCTAAATACTAACCTAATATTACCAAAATATACACTCAGGAACTCACAAGAAAGCATAGTTACATCTTAAAAACAAGAGAAGTTGCAACTAAAGATACCTCAATTCCATGTTAAATCATCTGCATGTTTTCATAGGGGCCAGCTTTTTATTTTTCTTTAAACAGAAGCACAGAAGGCAAAAGAGATACTAATCAAACTTGTGAGTTTCCAAGAATCAAACTTAGTAAGTTTCCAGGAATCTCTCATGTATTACTGAAATATTTAGAAGTATTAACAGTATTAAAATTAATAGTTCATATCAATCCCTTGATTCAAAAACCATTATAGGAACAACAACAACATAATACATACTGGAGGCCGACCAGGACGACCCCTTTTTCTTTTTCCTTTGACCTCTGTTTCTTCAAGTTCACTCCCAGCATCTGAATGGGCAGTAGCTTCATTAGTTGAATCCCTAGAAAATAGTATATAATTTTAGGGTACAAAGTAATTCATAAACAAAACAGTTCTGTTTCACTGCTCTCCTTAACTCCTGCTACACAACTGACTAGATATGGTTTAGACTTCTGGATGCAGAAAAATATTCATTAAATCAAAAATGTTACCCTCTCTGCCTAATATCACATAACAGTAAACTGAATGCACCAACTAGAGAAGCAAAGTGGAGGAAAGTACTATAGAAATGCCAGTTGCGAGACAAAATATAAATCAAACAATTTCAAGAATATTTAAAATAAAAAAGACAAAATCTTGGGAAGAATTTTATTCATTGTATAAAATGAGAAAAGGCAGTATTACGGTGGTAAATATTTAACAAATGGCTCTTTATAAAAGTTACAAATATGTTAATAGAAATGTTACTGATAAAGGATATGTGACATACACTATACAAACAATAATATGATAACACAATACACAAGCTAATGGATTCACATAAAATGATGCTGATGATTTTGCTAAATCTTTGTACCCATGACTAACCTATGAATGAATGAATGATGAACAAATAGGGTTTTGACATGAAAGACAGCTGATGCAAGATCATTTTAATCAATACAACACAAGTGAAATGACAAAGACGTTTGTTGGAACTTCAAATTTTAATAGTGTGAACAACTTTATTGAATTAGATGAATTTTCAAATACTGGAAGAGTATTTCCTCAATTTTATCAGACTTCGTTTCTTTAAAATGAGTTTACTATGCATTCTTAACAATTTCCTCATCATATATTAAGCTTACAGATAACTGACAAAGTAATAAATTGAATCCTGATCTGCAGTGTTTGCTAACATTGATGGTGTGAACACTCCCAGTCAATTTCACACCATCAAAGTGTTATTACGAAAAACAGAGTTGAGGCATAATGGAGAGTAGTAATAACACCTTAAAAATATTTCCACCAAACATATATAATAGGTGTAATTAAAAACTCAAAAGTACAGAACATGTAAATAACAGTAACATGTGAAATTAGGAAGTGATGAATTTTGAATATATGTTAAGTTTGTACAATTTAAACTTTTATAGTGACCAAGTTATATCTGAGCCACAAAATCCCTGCAATTTTAACAGTCAACTTCAACATTATTATAGGCTGTTTCCAGCATAGTACTTAAAAGGCACAGATGCCATGGTGGAAACAGCCTATAACAAGAAAGAACTGTTTCACTAAATTCTTAATACATTACTAGGGCTATAAAGAATCAGCATAAAATTGCAGTAATAGGCAGGGCACAAAACAAATAAGCTCAATTTACAAAATTATGTCTTAATCTGCCTCACTGAATACACTGTACTGATTGCTTAAGGTTTGATTCTTTAGTGTCTGCTCTTCTCCCTTTAAAAAAATAAAAAAGAGGCCCTCCCTGGTGGCGCAGCGGGTTAAAGCACAGCACTGAGAAGCTAAAGCCACTTCCGCATGACTTCGATTCCTGCCTACCCTGGAGGTGACCACATGGTGTGGCAGACCTCTCCTGCCCCGCCCGCTGCTCCCCTCAGCAGTGTACTTCGTTGATCTGCCTGTTCTGCTCCCCAATCTGTCTCTGGGGAAGCCTCTCACCGCCCCCTGAGTCTCTGGCCTGTACCCCAGCTCTGTATGCACAAATAAATAAATCTTTAAAAAAATAAAAATAAAAAAGATTTATTTATTTATGCATACAAGAACTGGGGACAGGCCATTCTTGGGGGGGAGGGGGGAGAAGGTTAATGCATTCTCCAGAGAGAATGGGAAACAGAACAGGCATATTGACTGAAATACACTGCTGTGGGAGCAGCAAGAACAACAAAAAGAGGTCTGCTGCACCATGTGGGTCAACTCCCTGACTATTGAAACTCATGCTGCAGTGGTGGTTGGTGGCTTCATAGTGCTGTGCTTTAAGCTCCTACACCACTAGGGAGGCCCACTTCTCCTTTCGTATTACATTCTCTTGGAGATCTCCAATACTGGAGATACTGACTTTATTTCTAGCTTTCTGCTCATGTTGATATCATTAATCAACTGAACGACTATGTTAATGAGCAAGTGTGCCTTAAGTTCTTACACAATTCATTGTCCCATTTACCCTATCTTACTCAAAGTCTTGAAACCTCGTGAGTTGTCCTCTATAACTCTCACATGCTTTCCAAGATGATTACCATAATCCCCATTCCACAATATAATATTAATGGTGTCTGCCTGCTTCAAATATTACCCTGTCCAAGACATTCTAGACACTACTGCCAGCAACATTCTTATCTACAATTACTTCCCTGCTTGCAAATCTTCAAAGGTAATCTGGGATGTTTAAATTATAAATAACAGTAATCTGGTACAGGGGTCAACAAACATTTCTCCTTAAAGTGCTAAGTAATACTTAAGGCTTGGAGTAATTAAGTCTCTATATTACTACTCAATACACTCATAGAAGCATGAATGTAGCAAAAGACAATATAAAAATAAATGGGTATGGCTTAGGTCCAGTAACATTTTATTTACAAAAACAGATGCCTGAGTCACTAGCATTGTTTTGTCTGTCAATTCTTGATCTAATTGACATTATTACTTTTTATTAAAAACCAATAAATCAGACCCTCCCTGGTGGCGCAGAGGGTTAAAGCACATCACTAAGAAGTTAAAGCCACTTCAGCTTGCGATCCCCACCTGCCTGGGAGGTGACCACATGGCAAGGCAGACCTCTCTTGACACTCCTGCTGCTCCCTTCAGCAGTGTACTTTCGTAGATATGCCTGTTCTGCTCCCCACTCTGTCGCTGGTGAATCCTCTCACCACCCCCTGAGCCTCTGGCCTGTACCCCAGGTCTGTATGCACAAATAAATCTTTAAAAAAAAAAAAAAGGCAATAAATCATAGTGCTTATACTCCCCACTCTATTCCAAAAGTTTAACACATATTGAGTGCCAGTATATGTGTGTACGTGTGTGTGTTCTAAAATAAATATGCTTAAAAGCCAGGTAAAAAAAACATTCTGTCCTGATTTTACAGAGGAGGAAATGAAGCTCTGAAAGCTTGGTGATCTTTTCCTATAGTCACAAACTTAGTCAATGGCAGAACCCACTCGATTACATCCTTTCCTATAGTCACAAACTTAGTCAATGGCAGAACCCACTCGATTACAAGATAAACCTGAATTCTCTATTTCCAAGTCAGGATGCTAGAATGCAAATATTATGTTTTTATATTTTTGTGTAGATAGAATCCAATAGAGCTTTTGATGCTTATAGATATCTCCAGGCAACTACAGGGGTAGGTCTAATGCAGAATGTAGTATCTGTTTGACCCATTAGTAAAACCAACATATCCTTGAGCAATGTATTTTACTGATAAAACAGAAAAGTTGTCTAATTCTGCCAACTGCACTCAGCTCAAAAGGTGACAGATTATTTCCAACAAATAAATAATACACTCCAGTTTGTGCTTGCATGTTTATTAAAATATATAGTGGCTCTCCCTGGTGGCGCAGCGCGTTAAAGCGCAGCACTGAGAATCTGAAGCCGCTTCCACATGAGTTCAATTCCCGCCTGCCCCGGAGGTGACCACGTGGCGTGGCAGACCTCTCCTGACCCGCCCGCTGCTCCCCTCAGCAGTATACTTAGTCGATCTGCCTGTTCTGTTCCCCACTCTGTCTCTGGTGAAGCTTCTCACCGCTCCTGAGCCTCTGGCCTTTACCCTAGTTCTGTATGCACAAATAAATAAATAAATCTTTAAAAAATATATATATAATATGGAATTAATATCAAGCAATAGAAAAGATTAAAAATACAAGGGATTGTATGTACTTCACCAAACCCTGTTTACCTATAGAACATCGTTAATAGTTTGATCAATATAATGCTCTAAACATTTGTGCTTTTACACAGACAGAAACAGATCTCAAAATACAAATCAATTTGTCTATTTCAACTTCTAAATAGAAATTCCCTTACAAATATTTAGGATTCCTGAAAGGTACTACTAAATATCTATTGCTGTAATAATCTCCTTCTAAAAAGTCTTCTCACTTCTACTACTACCCCTTCCAAACTAATCACTACACTATAATAAGAGTTCTGTTCTAAACATATCTTTTTACTCCTTTCCCATACTTCAAACCTTGCAATAGATTCTAACACTAAGGAAAAAAAATACTCAAAAACTTGTGTAATGTTGTGTAGCAGGTCCCTATGTAACAGTCCCATTTCATTCACAAGTCTTTATATCAAGTTAATCTACGTGCACAACGGAGGGGTTTTGACAAGGAAGAACTTTCTTTCAGTTCCTCAAGCATACCATAATCCCTCCTAACTCAGGGTTCCACCTTTTCCCTCAAACACTCCCTCCACTCAGACCTAAACTCACCTTTCTTAGAACAGTAGAATCAATCAAGCATGTGCTAACAGCCTTCAAAAATAGTCCTCTAGTTTTCTTTCACCTCATTAGTGGCAACTTAGATCTATGTGTTTGTGATTATTTGATTAACAGCCTCCTGCACAAGCTTCAATGCAACAAGGACCAAGTCTTCCACATGCTCTTTTTTCCACCAGAGCCTAGCATAGTTCTTAGTATTAGAAAATGCAGTAGAATATAGAAATATGTAATAATTTATAACATTTAACAATGCTTAACAGTAAATAGCAGTAAGGTAATAAACCAATTGTGATTATAATATCTAAATGATGCAAGAAATAATAAGGTCACTTCCCTACAAACCCTACAACATTAAGAATTGCTGAATAAAAGGTATTTTTAGGGAAACCTAGAGATCAATTTTTAATATAGGATCTTCACTTCATAAATATTTAAACTAAAGTTTACAAATTCAAGACACACACTGTTTTCTTTCCTTTCCAAAACAAACAGTATTGCTGGATGAAGAATCAAGTAATATAATATATGCTACTAATATGTCTGTTAATAGCCTCCAAAATTGTATGTCCTTAATAAATGCTTCTTATTATAGATTTCAACTTGACCAAAAGTACCATTTTCACTCAATGTTTAAGCAAAGTTTATCTACCCAGTTCCTAGATTATCACTCTCCACTACTGACAATCATATTACAGGTTTAAACTTTATAAGGATAGTAACAGTTACTCAGAAGCATATGATGTTAAATATCATGGTCAACATAAACATCTTTAAATACAGCATCTATTTAAATAAACCTCAGTTTCATATTTAATCAAAAAGCTATTCAAAGGCTTAACAACCAAAGTGCTAGGAGTAGTCCATACAAAAATAAAGCACAAGAGTATACAGCTTAAAACAAGAAAAACAGTAAGAAAATGTGGTGCAAATAAAAAGGAAGAGCATTATAGGAGCACCAGAAGAGAATCTATCCCAACTATGAGGAGTTAGGAGGCACTGGAGTCATGATACGGCAGCTAAAACTCAAAAGTACTTTTTTAAGTTGGCTAGGTAAGAGCAGAAGTATGCTTGCATTGCAAGAAAATAAAAACAGACAACGGCACAAAGGAAATACTGTGTGGATGCCTCCAAATTTGGTATGTGGAACTCAGTGGCTCAAGCTAATTAATAGTAAAGAAGCTTGAGGTAAATAACTAGAAAGAGCATAAACTACATCTTATATTTGAGGGAAAGTAGGTACTGAAGTTTTTCAGGCAGGTAAAGTTATTTGGATAGCGTTTGCATCTCAAGAGTTCTGTAGAGAAAAAAGAGGACACCAGGAGGCCAAATGGAAGGCAAATAAAGTCTCTTGGAAAAGAGGCATATTAGTAAAATGAGACAGCAAAAACACACAAATGACTGTTTAGTGTGTTGGTCACTTTTCATTATCTCTAAACATCTGTTATATATGTATTATAGTAAGCAGATTTCAAATGTTCCTCTTGAAGAAATCTACAAAAGGAAAAGTATTTGCCATTACACTAACCACATTCCAAACAATCCATACAACTCAAAACTAGATCAGTCCTACAATTCTAACAAATACAATGTGATGCCACCAGAAAAGCCAATTGGAATGTCCTTCATATTACTTTTAGCAAAATGGAATATTTCAATGGCCTCAATCTCACAGAAATGTAGGGAATCAAAAGGGAGGTAAAGGGACTGGGGAGAGGAGGTGCTGGTGTTAAAGAAACAATATGTTAGAGAAGCCCTGTAATATAGGATAGGATTCTGTAAACTTTTTCCATAAATGGTCAAACAAAAATATTTATGCTTTGCAAGCAATTCCTTTACATACAACCTATAACATGAAGCAGTTATAAGCAATCTGTAAAGGATTATTTATAAAATAACACTTTATTTGCAAAATCAAAGTATACTAGATTCAGACCATAGGTGAGAATTTACTAGTCACTAATATAACTTAATTTTTTGTTGCTGAATATAGAATGTATTGACAATGTAATAGCAAGGGTTATGGATGAATATGATAATTATACAGTCTAAGAGTTCTTTTATTTCAAATAAATTGCCCAAATACCAGAGAACATATTTGATTTCTCTCATTAAAGAGAACATCTGGATAAAGAACAAGGTTATTAATGTTTTAAAAAGGAAGAAAACTGGTATACTTACTGTAACACTGGTATCTCTGAAGTAATCATTGCTGGAGAGGTTTTTCCACAATGGAGCAGTAGCATCAAGTGCTATATAACTCAAAACTTTTAAAACAACCTCAATGGCAATCCTGTTAATAAAAAAATAATAATAAATAAAATTTTCGCCAGTTTGGAAGTTTAACAGCTGCAACTGTAAGCTATTTAAAGTGTATGATGTAAATTGATATACACCAACATTATCAAGATCTGCCCACACCCAACATCTCGCTATTTTCCCCAGCAACACTTCTCTATTCTACCTTCATCAGTTTGACGTTAATTGTACATATAAATAATGCCACATGTTGTACTTATCTGACTTATGTCTTTCAAATTGATACACCGCAAATGCATCAAAATTTTATCAAAGCTGAATATTATAACCATTGTGTAGCTACATAGGTGTGCCTGTGTATATATGTGTGTGTGTGTGTATGGTGTTGAGTGTGTGTGTGTAGGTATGTATATACCCACCCCCAAACACATACATCCTGTGTGTACATATTACACACATACACCCAACACCATATTTTCTTCATTCATGCAAGTCAACGGACACTTAGGATGTTTTCATTATGTAGGCTACAATGAATAACTATGCTATGAACATTGAAAACAGGTACATCTTACATATGTTCATTTAAAATCTTCTGCATCTGTATCCAAGAAGTGACATTTCTGGACCTTATTGTAGTCTTATATGTAATAATTTGAGAAAACTTCAGAGTTTTCATTGAGGCTGTACCATTTTTATATTCCCACCAGCAGTGTATATGAGTTCCTTTCCTTTCACACCCTCACCAGCACTTATCTCTTTATCTTTTTGATAACAGATAAAAGACACCCTAACAGGTGTGTCTCATTATGATTTTCATTTACATGTCCCTCATGATTACTAATGTTGAGTGCTTTCTCATATTGGTCATTTATTAGTATTCTTTGAAAAAATGTCTATTTTTAAGAAAACTTATTTTAAAGTAAAATGAGTATGTCAGAATATTATATAGACTAAAACCAGTACTGACAACAATAACACTCTTCAGCATTTACTTGAAGGAGCTGAAAATATCTCTATACAAAAACTCCTGTACAAAGATATTCAAAGCAGCTTTATTCAAAGTTGCCAAAGCAAAGAAACAATCAAGGTGTGCTTCAGGAGATGAACAGATAAAATGTTGAACATGCAAACAATGAGATCTTATTTGGCACCAAAAAGAAAAGAGCAATCAAACCATGAAAAGATATGAATAAAGTTTTAATGAACATCGCCAACTGAATGAAACCATAATGAAATCATTATACTTTGTGTGGCTTTAATACATGGCATCCTGGAAAAGGCATGAGAGAATAAAAGGATCAATGGTTGCCCAAGAGTTGGGTGGAACACATAATTTTTAGGGCAGTGAAAGTATTTTGTATGATGCTCTATTGGTAGTTATAAGTAACTATCCACCTATCAAATCCCACAGATAGTGCAACACCAAGAATAAACCTCAAAGTAAACTGTGCACTGAGGGTGACAATGTACGTACAATCTATATTCATGAAATGTAACAGATGTTGCACACTGGTATGAAATAAATAGTAGGGAGACTGTAAATATGTACAAAAATGGCTTATATGGAAAATTTTTCTACCTTCTACTCAATTCTGTTGTGAACCTAAAATGTCTTTAAAAAGGAGTAGATAAGGGAAAAGCATAGCAGAAGTAGTAGTGCATCCGAGACAAGGCTTAATATGGTATCAAATTAAATAACATAGGTATATATAACTAAAGTTCCAGAATAAAGTACATGATAGAATAAGTATCTGAGAAAACAAAGAGCTCAAAATTTTTAACATATTTATACATATGTGCAAAATCTGACAATGCCCAGGTACAACAAATTTTGTAAAATAAAAAACTGCTAATATCTGATGTTCAGAAAGTAAATGTAAAAGGAAACTAAACAAATAAACAGAAAAACATGAGAATTATATCAGACTTTCTGTTGGAAACTTTGTAAGTTAAATGACAAATGCATAACATCTTTAAACTGCTGAACAAATAAGAACATAAAATAAGTAGATCAAGAAGATGATATTTGGGGGAAGAAGAATTTCAAAGGACTATTAATTATACCAGGAAGTCCAAATAGTTACATGCATGCCAAGGGTTGGATACATATTCAGAGAACACCTGGGAGAAACACAGGCTCGAAATTTAAAGTTGAGCAAAAGATAAAGACTAAGACTGATTAACCTTTGAAGTAACAGCTCCTCTAAAAGAAAGCATGTAAAACCAAGAAATTACTTCTTTTTCATTTTAGCTCTTTTGATTCTGGAAGTAGACCACTAACTGAAGAGAAAATTGCAGCGAACACAGAACAAAAAATGTTTTTAAAAATAATCTGCAAAAGTTATTTGAAGTTTACTACAGCCCTCAAAAGGCAACAACAGTAAAAACTGGGAAGGAGGGTAGCATATGGTTTCCAGAGGTAATTCATATTAAAAATGTCCAGTTTTTAAGAACAAAATCACAAGGCAAAGTATAAGGGGGGTCAAAGGGTGACAGAACTGATCATCTCTTGTACAAGTCCAGACACTGGATTTAGACTTCCAGAAGAAACAGAAAAGGACTGAAAAAAAAATATCTGATGACATAACGATGGAAAACTTTCCAAGCAGAAATCTACATAAGACAATGAACTCCATAAGGGATAAATTCAAAGACATACAGCCACAAACTCCAATTGAACATAAACACAAAAGACAATGAAAATTTTGAAGAAAAAATAAATTACTTGTCACATGCAGGTAATGCTTATTAAGATTAAGAGTAAAATTTTCATCTAGAACCATGTACAGATACCAGAAGGTTGTAGGATATCATATCTAAAAGTGCTTCAAGAAAATGCTCAAACAAAAATTCTACAGCCAGCAAATGATCACAAAAAAAGTCCGAAAAATGAAGCTCTATCTACAAAAACAAAAACTAAAAAAATGTCACTTACCCTGCCCCACAAGAAATGCTAAGAGGAAGTCATTTGTGAAGATATGAAAGGACAACATACAGTAACATTAAGTCAATGTGAAGAATAAAGAACACTGGTAAAAGTACACAGGTAACTGAAGTAGTCAATATTATTGTTTTTTTAGTCTATTATTGCTTTTGTTCCTTAAGCAATTCAAATGACAAATACATAATAAGCTTATCTCTCAATGTTAAGGAACACACAATGTATAAAGATTAAATTTATAACCGTAACATAAGGGAGAGAAGAGACAGTTGGAGGCAGACATAGGAGTACAGTGTAAATTATTAAATCTAAGTTATTATCAATTCAAATTATAGTAGCATTTCAGGTTATAAACTAGTCAGATAATTGCTCACTAATCAAGTAGCTTATATAGCAAACAAAAGGCATATATTAGAAAAAGACCAAATATGAAAGATAATAGTGTTAAAGGAATGGGCAATGAAAACATAAGGCACAGTAAGAAAATTACTGTAATTTTGTATAAACAGTCACCTTCAATGTAAATATATTAAAGAATAGTTAAGAGATAGAATGTGCCCTCCCTGGTGGCACAGCGGGTTAAAGCACAGCACTGAGAAGCTAAAGCCACTTCAGCATGAGCTCCATCCCCAGCCGCCCTGGAGGTGATCCACATGGCCTAACAGACCTCTCCTGACCCGCCCGCTCTTCCCCTCAGCAGTGTACTTCATCAATCTGCCTGTTCTGCTCCCCACTCTGTCTCTGGTGAAGCCTCTCACCGGCCCTGCACCTCTGGCCTGTACCCCAGCTCTGTGTGGATAAGTAAATAAATCTTAAAAATAAAGACAGACAAAATGGCACATTTCATTGAAAAAATTTTATATGTACATTCTATAAAAAAGATTCATTTCATATTTAAATACATAAATAGTTTCAAAGTAAGAATACACAAAAGTTGGCCCTCCCTGGTAGCTCAGCGGGTTAAAGCTCAGCACTGAGAAGCTAAAGCCACTTCAGCATCAGTTCAATTCCCGCCTGCCCTCGAGGTGACCACATGGCGTGGCAGACCTCTCCTGACCCGCCCACTGCTCCCCTCAGCAGTGTACTTCATCAATCTGCCTATTCTGCTCCCCACTCTGTCTCTGGTGAAGCCTTTCGCCACCCCTAAGCCTCTGGCCTGTATGCACAAATAAATAAATCTTAAAAAAAAAAAAAAGAACACATAAAAGTTATTCTATGCAATGGGTAACCAAAGGAATATGGAGTGACTATTTTAACCAGATAAAGTAAATTTTAAATCGAAATATCATGAGACAAAAAGGGCTAAAATTTGGGTAAAAATGGTCAACTCACCAGGAAGATACATATACAACAAATCACAGAACCCCAAAAAATGAAACACTGGCAGAATTACAGAGAAATAGAACTGTAAAAAATGGCAATTTCAATACACTACACCAATAAAACACAGAGCACCTAGACAGAAGAACATTAAAAAACAAAAAAAGGAAACTTGAGTATACACTATTAATAAACTAGACCTGACAAACATTAAACACGTTCTTTTCAAGTGACATACAACATTTGCCCAGATAGCTGGTTAGGTAACAAAATAGTTTGAAATTTTTTTTAAAGACTGAAATCATAATGAACAATATCTTTAAACATAATGAAAAGGCAGAAATTAATAAGAATATGAAAATTGGAAAATTCCAAATTTACACACTTTTAAATAATAGTCAAAGAAGAATTCACACACACACAAACACACACAAATAAAAATACTTGAAGACAAAAAAACACCATATGCCAAAATTTATGAGATGCAGCCAAAGCCACACACACAGGAAAATATATCTGAAAATATCTCAATCCATTAAAAAAAGAGGGAGATCTCATTCAATAACACAACTCTATACCTCAAGAAACAAAAGAGCAAATTCAACTCAACAACAACGAAATAATGAGTGCAGAAATAGACAAAAACAGATATAATGAAACCACATGTCGGTTTTACAAAAGATCAACAAAACTAACAAACTTTTAGATAAAAAAATTATAAAAGAGGAGATGCAAATATCTACAACACAAAAGACAGTAAGAATATTAAC